TATCAGTGCAAGAGTTATATCCTAATTTCTTCAGATCCATTTTTATATTAGCTGTTATTTGAACACAATTATAATATTCATCTAGCAAGTAGTGTTACAGCACAACAAACAAGATTAAAAAGTGTTCTTGTCATTGAGCAGAAAAAAGTCGGTATGATTTAGTCTCATTTAGAATGTTCAAGTGGATTCAGGCAGAATCATTAATTTCAATAAAGGGGGTATTTGCACTTTGATGTGCATAAACCCATTTGGTTTAAATGATTGGCCATCACAGAGTAAATTAGTATTATCCACATTAGTTCTAGTAACTGTCATATCTTGTAATTTTTTAGGTAAAATTACTTGTAGCCTTATTACAGAAATTGAAGTTCAAAACCATATTGTTGGCCTCTGTCCTTACGTTTACAAAGAAAATTGGTTTATGTTACTATGTACATGTGTCTGTCCTACCACTATAATTTTAAACCAGTTGACAGGTTTTCATGAAACTTGATATAAGCTCTGTGCCATTAAAGGCTACCCCAACTGTGTTCTTGCTAATTTCTTACCATCAGTACTACCACTATGACCAGCAACCTTGCAAGGTAGTGAGTTGGGTGTGTTCTTTTGAGACCTTTGCTTATTATAGACATTTGTTTTGGGACAGGTTGTATTACATTGTGGTGGGATTCTCTTTTAAATTCCTAATTTCACTTTTTCTCATAATGGTTGATTCTTCTTGTCTTGCTTCTGAATACCAGGACATTTCTTTCTATGAAAAGATGCACTTGCCTTGTCAGTCTTAGGGCTTTATATGGTTACTTTCTAATGTGGTTTAACTTCTTGTATGCTGCTGGTTATTTGCTAATGATGTCATGGATTCTAATTTTGAAGCTTAGAAAAGATTCATAGGATTTCCTGTTATAAATGGGAGCTATTGATTGGTGAATGAAAATTTAACGTTACTGTGAAAACATACATTACTTTACATTACAATTTGTGTAGTGTAGCTTAATATTGGTGGTTTGCTATCTCATAAAAAGACCAAAAATAATTATTATATGGAAACCATACTTGGAATCAGGAGGTCAGTGCCCAAGTCATGCATGGGGTTGACAGACAGTGATAATTGATATTAATATTAGTAAAGATTTGATATATCAAACTTGATGTGTATTTGTTGGGTTCTTTAGGTTTTGTTGGTAATGTCAGGGTATGTTGAATGTCAAGATTATTCCTAGATTTAGTTAATACGGAGTGTTCTTTGTGTGTGTGTGTACCCAGATTATATCTGCTGGTACTGTTTTTTAATAATCCTGTACATTTATATGGTTCAGTATTGTGACAGACTTGTCCTTCACGTGTCTCTGGAAATACTACCATAAATTTAGTTCATATCATAGAGTAACTAAATTTAGATATCTTTACAAATTTTAGATAGAACATACCTTCCCCCATATGACATTCAGTGCCAAAAGTATTGTTTCATAATTGATGTTTTTTTCTTCCCTTTGATAGTATTACATGTATGTAGGATTTCCAATAAACAGAAGTTAAAATTAAAGTATGACTATCATTCAATAGGTTGAAAGCAATGGAGTGTTGCCAGACTGTTATAATGAGCTGAGAATAAATGTGACTGATTATATTGAGATCTTCCCCTGTGAATCTTTTATTTAGTGATGTAAAATATTAGAATGTACATTGAAAATAAAAACATTAACTTTGCTTAGAACTGTTGCTATTTTGTCATGTGAAGATATGCCATTTCTGTGTGCATTATCATTTGTTTCAAGCCATAAAATGTGAAAATATCTAAGATACTTAGAAAGAAGAGGTACTTGAAGGTTTTTAATTTTTAGAGCACTTCTGGGACGTTGATGTATCTCCGCTTTAATTACGTAACTAACTAGTACTGTTTATTAGGGTTCTATAATGGGAGTTATAATGTAAATTGCATTTTGAACTTCTGACACATCATTTATAAGTTACCTGTTTCATGGAATTTATTTGCAAGTCATGAGACAGGTGCCCACTCTTCTTACTCAGTTTTAAGTGAGTGAAATTTTATTTTAAAGTTTTATGACAGAATGTCTAGAATATTTGGACTTGTATCACTGGTTGAAAGATGCTCACTTTCTTTGTTTTAATGACAATTTATTTGATTTTCCATTATGATAAAGACAGACCAACTTTAATAAAGGAGATTACTGGTAATATTGTGAAAGAGAACAGACCTGATTTTCATGAAAACTAAGAGTGGGTCGGCTTAATAATACAGTGTAATGCAACTTCCTGCAGAATACATGAAAGGTGCACATCCAACTTGAGTTATGATAGTGAGTAAATTAAAAGTGACTGTTTCTTTGCCGTAATTATTTTTTAGATGTTGAAGTTCCTTTAATTTTTGTTGCATATTGGTAGTGAATAAGAATTTTGGATGGTATATGTGTGTTTATGTGTTTATTATTTCTTTCGCAGTCATTGTATTTTTCAGTTGTTGGTGTTGACTTTGGTGTCAAAATAAGTGAATATTAACATTTTCTGTACTCTTACTGCATTATAATCTTTAATGTTTCAGAATGAAATACATATTGTTGACAAGTAATTGATTGGCAGTTTTGTAGTTGACACAGCTTTGCTAGTTATTTGTGGTTGTCAGTGCAACAATTAAAATCCAAACTTAAAACACTTAGCAGTGGTATTCCATCCATACTAGACAATGGTTATACAGAGTTAACTTGTTCTTGAGCTTCCAATTACAAGAATGTTCACAAATTGATATTATTAATATTATTGTATGTCCAGAGTTATTTTTAAGTTGATGTTCTGAAAATATTTTTGCATCCAGAATCTGAATGTTTTTGGTATGTGGTAAACAGTTAAAGATTTCAGTATACATGATTATCTTGTGATCTAGTTTCAATAAATTTTGATTCACTGCTTAACTTACATGGTATTACATGTAATCACTAAGTCAGCAGTGCACTTCATACTCTAAAGAAATTTTTGGACTGAATATTTTGTTCTGCATGATATTTTAGCATTTTGCAAAAATGCCAGGCTTCAGTTTGCCAATGGTTATGCATAAGTGTATGAATTTTGTCAGTTTCCAAATAGAGGATTTTCATGATCCAAATTTTAAATTTCTCTTTATGAACTGTTGCAGTCTCTAGATCTTATTTGTTTGAAGCCAGTTTCTAAAATTGTATGAGTAAAATTCAGTAGCAGTGCCAGACCAGAGGTAGGATGAAGAAAAGATTCTCTTTAATTTCTTATGAAGGATATTTATTTTTAGGAGTTGTTTCAATTTAATAAATGTTTCTTTCGTGTGTTTAAGTTCATTACATAACTTTTAAAAATTTATTTTTGGACTGGAATTATATTTTGGCAACATTATTTTATCCATTGCACTACAGAGTTACATTTTGATGTTTTCATCCTGTATGCCATCTTTCTGATCCTTCATAAGTTTCACTTCAAGTCGTGCATTATAGATGTAGGACTACACTTCCTTTGGCTGGCATTGTGTTAAGATTTCCAATTTAGTTCTATTTCAGTTTGTCACACATCACAGGGATTTTATTGTCTTTTTTGTTTTGGGAACATAAAGTATGGGGAACTCAGCTGCTTTTATCTAAACTGAGAATGTCTGTATAATGCTTAAGTTTGATGTATAAAATGACATATACATATATACAAGATTTTGAAAGTATTTGTTGAATGGTTTTGTTTAGAATTTTAGTATTCTTGTTGCCATGAAAATTTGTTTCCATTATTGATGCATATAACATTACAGTTTATGTGAACATTGAGTGTGTTTAAACAAAATATGCAGCATACTATTCAAAATCACTGATTTGTTTTGCATTTATGTACAGAATTTTTATTTTATAGTTCCATTGTTTGTTGCCATGGATGAATGTTTGAAATGTACTGTAATTTTGAGTTTCATTCATGAATTGTGTAGTAGTGGGAAGCTTTACTGTTACTTCAGTGTTTTTGTTTATTTGTTACTAGAAAAGTGTGAACATGTATTATATAAAACTCAAGTGATCATAAAAAGAGTCAGTATTTGTGTTTGCATATGGTTTCAAGATGCAAGTCAGTTATAAAATTGTGGATTTTATCAGTCATGATGTTCTAGGATGTGATGCCTTAGTCTTGTAGGTTGTTACCACATTCAGTTGGAAGTGGTATATTCCTTCAAAACATTGGTAGTTACCTCAAGAACATATGACATCATGACCCAAAAGACCATGATTATCTTTATAATTGTTCATTCTGAGATCATACTGTAAGTATTGATGTGTTAACCTTGTTTATGAAATTGGTTTAAGAAGTTTAGCATATTGCAGCTAGACAACTTCCAGTTGCTATAGACGTTTTTATTGCAATGGAGATACTTTCAGAAGAAACTGCATTGTCAGTGTCTTTTTGTTTTGTGCAACTCAGTTAAATTCGGTGATTACCCAGAAATACATATTTCACATCCTCAAAACTGTAAATTCTGGTAATATTAAATTGTTAGTCTGTTTGCCAGTAGGTATTGATATCTGATAAGTGTTATGTTTTCCATTAGCTGCTTGGAAATTTTTTGTTTTTTATGTAGTGCATTCATTTTTGTTTTAATTAGCATGTTTTGGTAGTTGTAGTAAAATGTTTGATGCATACTTTTTCTGTTGCCACATTTTTATGCATGATATTCAAAATATGTTTATATAAATGAAAATCAGATCTTGTATTGTCTGCCTGTATTATATGTTACTTACATACTGCATAAGTTCTTTGTCAATTTTAAGATTTAATTGATCTAAAAAAATAAAACATTGTATTTTAAATTTTTTTCCTAAATATGTATTTTAGGTGTTAGCTGAGTATGGTTCTTTGAACACTGTCAGTCAGCTTAATTTTTCTCACCAAGTTGTCATTCATAAAATGGACTAGAAGGTCAGGGAGTAGAAAGTAATGATTATACAATAATATACTTGAAATTTATTAAATGTGTGGTTCTTTTGTAGGTATTGACACAGTAGAAGGCATCAGCGGAACACCCCAGTTGAAGATGCAAGATAACAGCACATGCCTTATTACATCTACTCCCAATGAAAATGGTAGTATTGCAACAAATCACAAGTAAGAATAAGTATATATTATTATTTTTTCCACATTAAAATTGCTACCCAAATTTGAACAAATCTAACCCTTTTTATTACTTTCTTCATCTGAGGGACCTTTATATAAAGTAGTCATATACATTGTTTTAGGATGTGGTAGGCTGAAATTTTGTGTTTGCACATACATATATACACATTTTTCTGTGTTTTATGTAACGAGAGGTTTTGTGATGGTCCGATTCCCCGTTCAAGGACTGTTACCAGTGTCTGTATTATTTATACTTTCAAAATTGAATTGAATTGAATTGAAAATTCTGAATGAAAATAGGCCAAGGGGCCTAATTCATGACAACTAAAGGAGAATTTGGTTAACCAGAATATATAATTAGATTTGTTAAAGAAGTATGTAAATACATCAACAATGAATATTGCGTTTTTGTCATGAATAACTGTTGTGCAATCTCTATAATTGATATATTTGCTTTCCTTGTGAACAGAGTGGAAAATGAGATTCATATGCCTGATGTTTCTCCACTGAAGATTGTCAGAGATGAACTCCCAGTGGCTAAGATTGCTAGCACCATTGAAGGAGAAGTTGATATGCGAAGGAAGGTTAGTTCAGACACCATATCATCACCCAAGCATGCTCTATTTCTCAACCACCTTGACTTTGTTAATTTGATTGCAAGTAATATATGGTGAAGAAATTAAACTTTACTCTCTAATTTTATCGATAATACTGTGACTTTCTCTTCTTTGGGTCCAGATATTTTCCTGAGTATCCTGTTCTCAAACCTTGTATTCTGTGTTCTTGCCTGAGGTGAGGGATCAAGTTTCAGACCCATACAAAACATAGGTATTTTAATCTTTATGTTTTTAGATAGGAGTTGTGAAGACAATGGATTCTGAACTGAGTGGTAGTAAGCATTCTGCAGATATGTTGGTAATTATTAATTTACAATTTATGCTAAATTTGCAGAACTCCTTGTTTCTTTTTTGTGTGTACACTGTTTTTCCTGTCTTATGCATGATTTGATTTTCAGAGGTATCCAACAGACCGTGCTTACTTTATTGCAAAGGAGATTTTAATGACTGAGAGGACCTATAAGAAAGACCTTGAAGTGATCAGCTTGGTAAGTTGCATATTTAATAACTATAAATGTATATGTTTGCCTTTAATTTTGCAAGGAATAGGTTAATGAAAATTGAATATCATGCATGAACTTCAGAGTTTTCTACCAAGGTTCACACTCAGTTATTTGTTAATGTGTTATCCATCATTATGCAATACATAACAAGCAGTTTTTTTTATCAGTCTCTGTGTCATAAATAACTCCATGAACCCAAATCCATTAATTTAAAATTGGCATTGTATACTGTTTGCCAGAATTAAGGAAAAATCTTGCTCCCATGTGGTTTCCCATGATCATGTCACATAATTTGTTATGCTTTTGTTCAATTTACAGTTGCTGTACAGCTTTTAGACAATACAACTCTTGAAATTAATAACATCAGTTGCATATAAATCATAGTAATTGTCCAGTAATGAATGTCAATCCTTAATTCAGCTCTTAACATTTACCACAAAGGATCACTGTGTGTTCACAAACTAAGTAACATCTGTTTTCCATGGCATATCACTAATCTCATGTATCAGTGGAAATATTTTCAGAGAATATTTCTTCTTCCACCATCATTCTGTTTTACTTTCTGGTAGCAAAGTCATTCAGCATATGGTTTTATTGTTTATTTATTTGTTAAATATTGTCTTGTTACAAAATCTCAAAAGTAGAGATGTAACATTTTCAGTAATGTATGACTAGATAAAATGCATGCAGTTGTGGTGGTAACGGTGACAAAAGTAATGACAACTGCTTTGTAAATGTCATATTGTTACAGTGTTCTAAGAATGCATGTGCTGATTTGTACCACAGTTTCTAGACGTTTGTTTTCCCAGAAATAATTTTGTTACTTTTACAGGTTTTTTCGCTTCTGAATATGACATTTTTGTGTAAAAATAGCATTTAACAAATTGTTTCATAGTCTGGAAAATAGAGCATTGTTTATTTTATTCTATAATAATTTTTCTTCAGTAATTTATGTTTTATGTTTTGGTATTATTTTTAATTATATGTGTATATTGTATTGGAGCACACTTTTCTACTTACACTTAACTTGTATCATATGTGACTAGGGAATTTAAGTCTCCATACTGCTGGTCTGTCAGCTGTATTTTAATTCTAGGAAGGGGTTAATGGTAACAATATGCTACTGCAATGCATGGTCAGCTGGACTATATATAAGCTGTTATGCATGGCCAGGAAAGGTTAAAGTACACATGCATTTAAAGTTGAATGTTGTGTCACATTTGACTTAAGCTGATGGACATTCTTTTCTCTCAGTGGTTTCGTGACGAGGTGAGTAAGGAGGAAGGTGAAATGCCACATTCAGCTTTGATGCCTTTGTTTTCATTGATTGAGCCTCTTCTTGAGTACCACTGTGGCTTCCTTCGTGATGTAGAAACTCGTCTTGCTACTTGGGAAGGCCGCAGTAATGCACATCTCAATGGAGACTATCGTCGCATTGGAGATGTTCTTTTGAAGAATATGGGAGTTTTGTCAGTAAGTATTAGGCATTTATCATTCTCTGAACTAATTTACTGGTTTTAATTGATTTCCATATTTTGTAAGGAAAGTCTTGCTTAAGTATGCCTGTGTGTGTCTGTTTCCTGTCAAGAATGTTACAACCATTTAACAGATTTTTGTGATACTTGGTACGAATATCATGCCACAAGAGGCTGTGCACCTTGTAATTTCCTGCAATATCAAAATTATTACCAATATGGCAGTTGTTTAAACATTGGGATGAGAGCAACACTAATGAGACTGGTTTCTAAAATATTTCATGGTAAGTTTCCTATATAATGTAAAACAGTAACATGGCAATTAGTTTTTTGATGACAAGAACTAGTGAACCGTTGGAACTAGGCATGTGACATTTTTTATTTATGAGGGTGGTTCAGATTTGAACTGAAATTTTTGTTGTTTATCAGTGTCTTTATTAGCTTCAAGCCCATCCTGCAGGAATGAGACAGGTATGTACATGTAGGGGGAGAGTACCTCAGGAAGACTGCCTAATATGAAACATGTAAAGTAATTAAAATTGACATGCTTTGATCAAAATCTGAATCATATTTGAACTACCAGAGGTTCCCTGTCTCTACGACAGACCATAAATAAACCTAGAATTTGATTTGAAGCTTTTTCTATATGTTAGCAATTCTGTTTTAACTTTAGTGTTATATCTGACAGATTTACTTTAGTCAAAGCCTCTAGTGAACTTATTACCACCTGAAAACTTTTAGAGTTGCCTAGGGCTGAGCCAAAAAAATTTACCATGTCTTTCTTTACAGTTACAAGTGGAAGGTTGAGACATAAAGCAGCCTTGGTAAAATATGACACCAATTTGTTTCTACTTCCATTTTTTATAAATAGTCTAATTTACCACTCCATGTTATCTAATTGTGGAAGCATATTCTGACATTTATGTTATACTTGTTTTGGCAGTTGTATGAAAAGTACCTAGCAAAGCATCTGGTTGTTCTTGAAAAGCTGGACTCTGCATTCCGACTGAATCACAAATTTGAGCAACTGTATCGGGATTTTGAAATGCAGAAAGTCTGTTATCTGCCACTGACTGCATTTATATTGAAGCCTCTTCAGAGACTTCTGCACTATGAGAACCTGCTGGACAGTAAGTACAATCTGCATTGAATGTGAAGTTGGAGCAGCTTAATTTTGAATTGTATGAACCTCATCCAAACTGGAACAAAGAGCAGCCTATGAATTACATAAAATTCTAAGTAACTGGTCCCTGTTCTGGGTTAACAAAATTCAATTGCCTTCAACTCCTATCACCCATACATCCTGCCTGATATTATTACCCTCCCATCTATGTTTATGTCTCCCCAGCGGCCTCCTCCCTTTAGGCTTCCTGACCAATGCCTGGTGCACACCTCATGCTCCATCCATGCACGCCACATGAACCACCCATCTCATTCTTCTTGACTTAATCACCCTGATGATATTGGGTGAGGAGTTCAAATTTTTAAGTTCATCATTATGCATTTTTTCCATGCCCCATCCTCTTCTCTGCTAGGCCCAAATGTCCTCAAAACACCATTCTCAGACACCTGCAATCTATGTGAGAGTGAGAGGCCATGTTTCACACCCATACAAAACAACAGGCAAAGTTATTGTTTTGTATATTTTAATCTTTGGGTTCTTAGAAATCAGACGGGAAGACAAAATATTTTGAACTGAAAAGTAGCAAGCATTTCCAGAATTTAGTCTTCCTAATTTCTTGTGAATATCATTTTGATTTGTTATTGTTCCCAAATATTTGAACTTTGTCATTTTTATTAGCCACCCTAATGTGATTTTGCCTGCCTGTCTGCTGATGGGATACTAACATGTACTTAGTTTTTTCTGAATTTACTTCTAGGCCCACCTTTCTACTAGCTTATAGTAAACTTCTTTGTTCCTCTTTATTGTGTTTATGTCGTCACCCAACATAAAATTCAAGTAATTTATGATTATAAAATCTCCCCCCACCCCATAAATATAAAGGAAAATATCCCTTAAAAAAGTAAAATTGCATATGAGGAAAAAATAACTGAGGAAGTGGGTGATTTAAATTTCCTTAGCTGCCATATTTTATACTTTAATGATTAATACATAGAAAACAAAGTTACACTATTCAACCAGATCTGTGGAACTATACATGATACACAAAACATAAAGCTAGGATATTAACACAAATTTTATAAAACATTCTTCCCAGTGTGTCTATATTCATGTGAGACTTGGTAAGAGAAGGCCAGAAAAGAAGATTACAGACAGCAGAAGTGAAGTTTCTAAGAGCAGTGAGTGGTTTTAAGCTGGTTGATATGATAAGGAAGATGATATTAGAACCCAGTTAAAAGTTAAAAATTTAAATAAAATGGTCGAAAAACAAAGGGAGAAGTGACATAAGATGAATCAGATACAACAGAAGGTTTTTGGCGATGGTGTGTTATAATATCTAAAACTGTTGTTTTGTACTTTGTCTATTGTCTACATTTTATAAAATACAATATTTCAGATTCTGAATTCTGCTCTCTAGCCTCAGCCTTAGTCCATGTCCGAGAGTTCAGAAATCAAGAATGAAACTTATGGAACTTTTCATAAGGCATTACAGTGTTCTGTTTCTTTTAAAAAATGTGTGAAAACTACTAGCTTAATTTAGTCTTAAGAACTTTGTCTGAACACATACTTTGTTGGATTCCCTTTGCTGCTACACATACTTGCATTTATCCTAGTAGTGATATTACCTCCTATGTTCTGTGCAGGACTTCTGAAGCATTATGGTAAAGATCATCAAGATTATGAAGATTGTTTGGCTGTAAAAAACAAGTTGATTGAGACATCTTGTAATGTTCCCAGTGTTCTACAACGCTCAGTGAGTATACACTTTCTCTTTCATTTAGATAATTATTAGTCCTAGGTTTTAATGGTACTAATTTGTCTGCAGAGTTTCCCTAACAGATCTAAATGGGATACTCTCATAACAAATGCACGTCAAGTGTCACTGATTTGATCGTAGTCTCAGTAAAGAAGTATTATGGTGGAAGTTACATATTGGGACAAAAGAAAAAGAAGCACTTTCTGTAGTAATAACCTGTATAAATTCTGTATGCCATTCCATAATTTACACACACTTCTCAAAATTTAATAAAAACATAGATGAATGATTTCAGTAATGATTTCTGACAATGAATTATTATGGATAATTTAATGTTGGCTCACATTCTTATTAAGCTATGTACTATAGTATAAATAGTAGGTGTATGTGACGAGAGGTCGAGCTAGATAAGAAAAGAGTGGATAGGTGGATAATAAGTCATGTTTTCAGGAAACACATTCTGAAGTATTCATTTTTATTGAAGTCTCATATTCGTTATGTTGCACAGCAAAGTGATGGATATCTCTCTTTGTGTGACAGGAAAACTTTGTGGCACTGTGTGAGTTGCAGCGTGACCTAAATGGCTTTGACAATCTAGTGCAGCCTGACAGAGAGTTTGTGCGACAAGGGTGCCTTCTAAAGCATTCCCGTAAAGGTTTTCAGCAGCGCATGTTCTTCCTGGTGAGTGAGGTTATGTAATATTTCATTCTGCCTACAGTGTGCAGTAATCAGTTTCAGTTCATGAGTTGCTTATTTTCTGCAGCTCCAGCAGTTCTGTGCTATTCTTATGAAATCTTTGCATGAAGTGCACATTTGGAAAGATCATGTCTCTGCCTACCCATGTTTTATCTCTGGAGAAACTAGTTTTCATTAAATTTGGTATTGGGTATACAGTAAAAGTTATTGGGCATTTTTCAGTTTAGTCTGAAGCTTATATTAAATTGTATAAAGTTTCTCAAAACCATACAAGAAAGAATATTTTATTCCTGTGTGCATTGTACTGATAATGATGAGCTTAAAAATGTGTACTCCCCCCCCCCAATATTGTCAGGGTGATTAAGTCGAGAAGAATGAGATGGGTGGGGCATGTAGCGCGCATGGATGGGACAAGAGGTGTGCACCGGGTATTGGTCAGGAAGCCTGGGGGGAAGAGACCGCTGGGGAGACCTAGACGTAGATGGGAGGATAATGTTAGGCGGGATCTATGGGAGATAGGAGTTGAAGGAGACTGAATTTTGTTGGCTCAGGACAGGGTCTGGTGGAGGGCTTTGGTTAATTCGTTGATGAACCTTCAGGTTCAGTAAGCCATCTAGTTAATTGGTTAGTGCATTGTATTGATGATATTATTGAAACATAATATTTTTATCTAATAGTTTTATTTTGACAGATTTCTAACATTAGCCATGAGGTTCCTCAAGCATATGTTTATGTATGTACTTTATGCATTAAATAATTATTTTATGTTGAATTGACAGTTTTCGGACCTCTTGCTGTATACCAACCGCATTGTTCAGCCAAGCCCTCAGTTCAAAGTTCATGGTCAGCTGCCACTGAGAGGTGTTATAGTGGAGGAGACACCAGACAATAAGACTGGAGCAAACTACTGCTTCAGTATTTATGGTGGCAATAGGTAATTGTTGATCATATAACTGTAAGGTGCATGTGTGTGCATACAATGGGCACTGTATATTCAATATACTGTCATATTTTCTTGGTCTAGAGATAAGATATACTGACAGGTTTTTTGTGGTTTCCTAAGTCCTTCCAGGCAAATGCAAGACAATAGAGTACTTGAAACTAGTCCACAATTGCTTCCTTCCACACCTTTTTCGGTTTGTTATTTATTAATCATTCTATCATGTTATGCTCTATGATATGAGCTATTTGGAACATCCTAATTTGAAATGAAGCATAAATAAATAAGTTACATGTCATATTAAGATATATAGAATTTCATCAAAAGTTCAGACTAATTTTTAAGAGCAATCATTTGTCATTCCATCTCTGGTTAAAAATCCTAAACATTACAATATATAAAACTGCAATTTTACTGTTGTTTTATATGGATATTAAACTTTGCTCGAGAACAGGGTGTTGAAAAAAATGTTTCAGCCCAAATTTTTAATCTGAACTTGTAATACTTTTTGACTTAATAAATTTGTGCTAGTAATTATTCTACTAATGCATATTTTTACAAAATGCGAGCATTAACTTATCCTCATATCTGATGTCATATTCTGTTACTATTGTGCTATTGGTAATTGTGGCAGAGCGCTTACTGTAGCAGCAAGCAGCCAAGAGGAGAAAGACAAGTGGCTGGAAGATCTCACAGCTACAATACAGACTGCCCGAGAGAAAGGAGATAATAAACTTCAATACCTCAGTCTGAAGTCATGCAGTGAGTAGTCATTTGTTTAATGGTGTGTTGGTGCACTCTGCCAACAAACACCACGAAGAATAAAATGTACTAAACTGTTAATTCTGTTTAGTTCTGGTCCTCATGTTCTTGCGGTTATAGCTTGATGTGTAACTTTGGGTTTTGTAGTTCAGAAGCAGTATATGTGGAAGGTGTTCCAACATTAATTCAAACAATTTATTTCAACCCATGATGTGAATAAATCTTGTATTTCACATAATTTTTATCTTTGATATTGACCTGTTTTTACCTCTCAGCAGTGACCTTCGCTACGTCAAAAGATTTAATTGTAAAAAGTACAAAATTTCCACACCGTGATGTTCATAAATACACTTGGACTTCCCCAGATGGCAGAACACACAATCAAATAGATCATGTTTTAGTAGATAAGAGAAGGCAGACAAATGTAATTGATGTGAGATCATTCAGAGGAGCAGATTGCGACACTGATCATTATCTGGTGGTAGCAAAAGTGAGGGAGCGGCTTTCAGTAAGTAGACGAACTAAACAAAATTTTGACACAGAAAGATTTGATTTGAAAAAATTAAGTGAGGGAGAGGCAAAGGAACAATATCAAGTTGAAATTTCGAATAGGTTTCAAATTTTAGAGACAAATGAGGATAATGAAAGTGTGGACATCAACAGGGAGTGGGAAAATGTCAGAAACTGCATCAAAATTTCAGCAAAAGAGAAACTAGGATACTACAGGAGAAAGCAAAATAAACCGTGGTTTGATGAAGAATGTTCAAAATTAATAGATCGAAGGAAGCAAACAAAATTTCAATGGTTGCAGAACCCAAACAAAACAAATGCGGATAATCTATGTAACGTGAGACGTGAGGCTAGTAGAACCTTTAGGACTAAGAAAAGGGAATACCTGAAGGGCAAAATTGCTGAACTTGAGACAAATAATAAGGAAAAAAACATCAGAGACCTGTACAGAGGCATTAATAACTTTAAGAAAGGATATCAACCCCAGACTAATTTGGTAAAGGATGATAGTGGCAATTTGCTTGCAGATCCAATAAAAATTGTGAATAGGTGGAAAAATTTCTTTAGCGAGCTCTTAAATGTTCATAATACTGGTGATATTAGACAGATTAAAATGCATACAGCTGAACTGTTGGTGCCAGAACCTAGCTTAGATGAAGTGGAACTAGCCATTGGGAAGTTGAAAAGTTATAAATCTCCAGGAATTGATCAGATTCCGGCCGAATTAATTAAAGCAGGTGGCAAAGGGTTGCATATGAGGATCCATAAGCTTATTCAGTTAATTTGGGATAAGGAAGAGATGCCACATCAATGGAAGGAATCCATAATTATTCCTATTTATAAGAAGGGGGACAAGACTGAGTGTGGTAATTACCGAGGAATATCGCTGCTATCAACCTCATACAAAATTCTATCCAACATTCTTTTGGCAAGATTAACCCCATATGCGAATGAAACTATTGGGGATCATCAGTGTGGGTTCAGACGAAACAGATCAACGATTGATCAGATCTTTTGCATTCGTCAGATACTAGAGAAAAAATGGGAGTTCGGTGGGACTGTACATCAGTTATTTATAGATTTCAAAAAAGCCTATGACTCTGTGAAGAGAGAAGTGCTATATAATATTCTTATTGAATTTGGTATACCAAAGAAGCTAGTGGGTCTAATAAAAATGTGCTTAAATGAAACCTGCAGCAAAATTCGAGTAGGTAAATATGTATCTGAGACATTCCTCATCAAGAACGGTCTAAAACAAGGAGATGCTTTGTCTCCCTTGCTCTTTAACTTTGCGCTAGAATACGCCATCAGGAAGGTCCAAGGTAGGCAGGAGGGTTTGCAATTGAACGGGACACATCAGCTATTGGCATATGCTGATGATGTTAATTTATTGGGGGACGATATAAATACAATAAAGAGGAACGCAGAAGTTTTACTAGAGGCTGGGAGACAAGTGGGGGTGGAAGTAAATTCAGAAAAAACTAAGTACATGTTAGTATCTCGTCATCAGAAGACAGGCGGGCAAAATTATCTTAGGGTGGCTAATAAATCCTTTGAAAGGGTTACAAAGTTCAAATATTTGGGAACAACAATAACAAATCAAAATGATACTTGTGAGGAAGTTAGGAGGAGACTAAATTCCGGAAATGCTTGCTACTTCTCAGTTCAAAATATTTTGTCTTCCCGTCTGATTTCTAAGAACCTGAAAATTAAAGTATACAAAACAATAATCTTGCCTGTTGTTTTGTATGGGTGCGAAACATGGTCTCTCACTCAGAGGGAGGAACACAGATTGCAGGTGTTTGAGAATCGGGTGTTGGGGAGGATATTTGGGCCTAAGAGGGAAGACGGTGGGGCGTGGAGAAAACTGCACAATGACTAGCTTAAAATCTGTACTGCTCCCCCAGTATTGTGAGGGTGATTAAGTCGAGAAGAGTGAGATGGGCGGGACATGTAGCGTGCATGGATGGGACAAGAGGTGTGCACCGGGTACTGGTTGGGAAACCTGCAGGGAAGAGACCGCTGGGGAGACCTTGACGTAGATGGGAGGATAATCTCAGGCGGGATCTATGGGAGATAGGAGTTGAAGGAAACTGGATTTTGTTGGCCCAGGACAGGGTCCGGTGGAGGGCTTTGGTTAATTCGGTGATGAACCTTCGGGTTCGGTAAGCCATCTAGTTAGTTAGTTAGTTAATACTGATCTGTAACTTTGGTCTCCCAGCCTGAAGAAAAAACAAACATTAGGGGTGTTGATGAGAATATTTGGATAAAGGTAGAGAAAGTAAGAACTCAGGACTGAGAAAACCTATCCCAGTGTCACTGTGTCACTTTTTCCATCACAAATCCCACTTGAAGTGATCAGGGTGCAAACAGGCCTCTGAGGTGATAAGCCTGTGACTAACCTCTCGAACTCTGTCATGGCCTACAATAACACTTAGTTTTTAACTTCACTTCATTATAAAGATTTGCTGTAAGTTATAATTTGAGAATTTGTAATTATCCAAGATCTTGGTCTTCAGACACATTGTATGTAAGTTATTATATTGATGGAAGGTTGTGGGACAGATCATGTTATTTTTTTTATTCTTATCTTATAAACTAAAAATAAATTATTTTGTTTCATGCCAGCCATGTCTGAATAAGGATGTTTGCACCACAATTAAATAACAACTTTTCTATAAATGAAAGCATATTAAAATGTTGAGAAAGTTATTGAAATTATGTTTTGAATTTGGAAATTTTGGAAGGCTGTATTTGTGAAATTATTAATCAGTAGTTCACACAGACATGATGCAAGAATGAGTGTCTGTAATCAGTCTTATGTGTGAAAACACTAACCATCTGTTGGTATTGTCAATTTGTAAAGTGTGGTCCAGTTTTATGTATTTGTAAAACTTAATGTTCACACAGGTTCATCAGATGAGGTGATGGAAACTTGCGGTGGGGATGGTGTGAATGATACCAATGGAACAGGGCGGGAGAAAGCAGCAGGAGCCGCTCAGCGCAGCAACACGACAGTACATGTTTGTTGGCATCGGAACACTAGTATTAGCATGCGTGATCAGTTACGAGCTGTAGAAGTTAGTATACTTTATAGTTACTTCTCTCGGCATAATTTCATTGTTGTGTACCATGTTTGGTTAAACACATGTCTGATACACTCACTAGTGTGTTCTATTAAATTTAGGCAGAATAATTGTTTTTGTTTTACAGAATGTCGTGACTACCACTTCAATGCAGTCAGAGTGCAATAATGAGTCCCAGGGGGTGCTTATGTGCATACCTTTCTTCAGCCACTTTATTTCATTTTTTGAATCCAGCAGGAACTATAAATTAAAAATTTAATTATTCATTTCTTTACAAAACCTCTACTAATACAGATTACATTCGTGTTAAATTTCACCAAGTTTTTTATTGTTAACATATATGAGTAGGCTATTCCATACAGGGATTTGTATGTACATTTATATAACCTATGTCCTTATGAAATTTTACGTTATGGTGGATAATTTTCTCCATAATACCAAACACAATGTCTAGATTTTGCACAACCACCGTGTTCTTTTACATTCTACAAAAAAGTGGCTTTAAGGAAAGGTGCATATTTTGTTAGTTATCTGTTATTATAAAATGTTAGCACCCTATATTAAATGATTCTAGTATTCTCCCTTCATAAATGTTTGCACTGCCAACATATTATTGATTTCTGGAATATATCTAGGTGAGATGACCTATAGTTGCATGATCTTTATATCTAATTTAGATGAAAGTGTGTTGGTTAAGTTAAAAGTTTTTGGGGGAGCTGGGGAGATGAACATGCAAATATTTTTCAGTCTTTCCATGTAATATAAAAGAGGACTAGGTGAAAGGTATTTGGAAAGTAAGGTATAAAAAAGGACAGAATTGCCTGTGTTCCAAGCGCAGTGCTTTGAATGGATATGCCCCATCTCCTTTACTCTTTAAAGAGTGGTCACATTAAATAGAGAAGATAAGCCTAAGAAAGTAGGTTCTGTTGATCAGGGTTAGTGTTTTTACTGTATAAATGTTTTATTTTTAGAACCAACTGAGTGGTTATCTGTTGCGAAAATTCAAGAACAGCAATGGCTGGCAGAAGTTGTGGGTTGTTTTCACGAACTTCTGTTTATTTTTCTACAAAACCTTCCAGGTAAGATTGATGTAATTTTGTTGAACAAGAAAATTTGCATTATGAATTTATGCTTGTTTACAGTTACAGGAACTTAAAGCTCTTTGTAACATATGGGCTATTGATCATTTAGAAAAATTAGTCATTATTGTTATTAAAAATAAACTTTAAACTGACATATTGTGAAAGACAAGACATTTTACTGACGTTTCTATAACATCTGATTTGGTTAATAATGTTAGGATAACGGAATGTGTGGGGCTGAGATGGCCTTGGTGACATGTAGCTAGAATTGGGGAAGACAATGCATATAGAATTTTCATGGAAAATATTTTGCAAAACAGAAGTGGGTGGCAGTATAACATTAAGCTGGATTGTAGGTAGGTGTGTAGTTGGGATGTTGATCGAGATGTTAAAGTTTCGATACCTGAATGACAGTTGAACTTTGTATCTGTGAAACACTAACATACGTAGTTGAAGGTAATCTTACATAACATAATAAGCAGTTTTGCCTGTTGCATATGGACTGTGACTAGACATGGTTGAGTTCTTATTTAAATAACCAAAGAAAAAGACCAGCTTAGACCCTTTGTTTGCCAGATGATCAGTCAGTGAATTGTTCATATTAGATGTCTTCTTCTTCTGTGGCTCTCCGGTCCATATTCAGTCCATGGCGTCCTCAATTCTCCTCTTCCATTCGGTCCTCTGTTAGGTCCATCTGTCCGAGCCTTTGATTGAGGTTTCGAAACATCTCTTTTTACG